ATTTTTAAGTCGAAGATGCCTTTCCGTGAGCAGCGTGAATTTGGGGACCGATAGCCGACCAAATTGCAGTTTGTGAAAACTGGGGACCGATAATCGACCAAATTGCAGTTTGTGAAACCGTAGAGACAGATGTGGGCCTGGCTAGCGGAGGAATTAATCCACCGGAATAAAATTATACTACTATAATGTTCCGGACGGAGGACTTGGTGGAGGAGTCTACGGGGAAAAGGGGTTGGCACCGTGTTCAGGAGCGACATACAGAGTGCGACGAACTTTCGTCCTGCCGCAGTATAGGAGCTGAACTAATTGCTCATACTATTTGGGTGGTGCCAAATTATAATAATAGTATTATATCCCCAAAAACCCTAATCAGGCCCCACTTCCCGGAGCTCCTGTTGCGGCAGGTCAGCTTTCGGCGCGGCTCTACGAGCAACAGCCTCGCGGACTCGGGAGGCAGTGGCATCACAGCGCAGCCGAAGGGGAAGGCTTGGCCGGAGGGGTCGTAGTCTAGGGGTCGGAAAAGATAGTGTTACTATCCCCTTTTTAATACAGAGGTCGGATCAATTAATTAATGATGTTACATCATTTTTTACGTGGATCTATGAGTTCCGCCTTTTGCCATTGATGCTTTCTTTTGCATGCTCTCGTTTTCTGGTCTTCGTTGAGGGTTGTCTGGCCGGTTTTTATTGATGGTTTCGTCGTTGTTGAGTTGAGATTGTGGTGGGCGTCAGTGCTACATTCGTTCTTGTTGTCGATGCGGTTCGTGTCTGGCTCATGCTGTGGCATATGGCCTCTAGGACACCAGGGGGTTCGTGAGATTTGGGGGCCGAGGACCACGAGACACCATCTCCAAAGTGTCTAGAACCCTCTTACAATTCCAGGGCTTGGGGTTCACAAGGTTCGGGGTTGGGGTACGATTAGGGTTTAGCGTCTGGAGCAGAGCCCGTCACGACGGGTTCAGAGCGCTTGCCGATGGGCAGGCGAGCTTCCGCCGTGGCTCCACCAGTGAAGGCTTTGGCGACGTCCCGACGACAGGCGGGGAAGAGCTCTGAAGCGGAAGCCCCTAAATCCTAAATCCTAAACACCCCTAGGCCCCTACTAGTAGACGCCTCAAACCCTTACCCTGGGTCTCAAACCCAAACCCGTCCACTTCAGCTGGGCTTTCCTCAGTCTCTGCTGTGCGGCTCTTTGGATTTCAACTAGCAATCGGGATGACGAGAGTCCTGCTATTCCTGTTGTTGTCACGACATGTAGCTCTTTGCATCCGTTCCAAAACCCGGAATCTTCCAGCCCAAAACAGCATTCCAGAGTACAGAAGCCTTACAGAAGAGAGCGGGCAGCATGTATGCACCATTAACCTGACCGACAAGCTACGGGTGGCTGATCATTCGCCTAATATTTCGCCAATTCCTACAACTGCCAGCTTGAATCACACAGGGCACTAGCACCACTGCGCGGCGTCCTTCGTGGTGGACTTGCCGATGTTTAGACTTGCTTAAGGGCTTAAAGTATTGTTGGTTGAACCGGCATTCCGACGGCACATACATCTGCATGCATGTGAATACATACATACATACATGCATACATACATACATACATACATACATACGTATACATATACATATACACATGCAATCAAGCAAATACATATACATACACATGTACATGTATGTATGTATGTATGCATGTATGTAGGTGTAGAGGCCTCTACAAATATACATATATATACACACACATACATGTGTGTGTATATATATATATATACATGAGTGCGGGTATAGGAAGGCCGAAGCTCAGAGTTTACCAGGTGCCAACACGCAGACGAAGGAATCCATTCGCGAGGACTGTCTCGGTTTAAGGTTAAGGGTTTGGGGTTCAAGGTTTAGAGTTTAGGGTTTAAGGTTTAGGGTTAGAATTGACTGCCCTTTCACGGCTGGGTGGACGTAGCTGGAGCTTCCTCTGTCACTGGCCGGAAAGTCGCAGCCCTTTCTGAGGCCTCATTCGCAAACTCCTCACCATGCCTGCCAGGGAACCCTGATTTGAAACAGCTTTGAACTCTCTCGCGATGCCGCAATCGTCGAATCCTTGGTCGAGCAACGCCTTTAACCTCCAAGTTCTGAATCCTACAGAAAACCATAGAACCCCTAGCCCCAAACTCACAGTCTGAATCTCAGACCTTGAACCCCGAATCCTTGCATTGGAGTGTTTGCATCTGTCTGGCGAGTTCAGTAATCGTCACAACCTCTAGCGATGCAGAGAAAGCGACCGCGCTTAATGTTATTAGTCTGAAGTGGCCCGGGGTCGTGGTTTCGGGCTCCAGCCCTTGTCGGGTTCTTGTAATCGCCCGAAGGAGGAAGTCGAGGCGAAGAAGTCCGACGCTTGATCGCAAGAAGACATGGAGGCTGCATTAGCTTTTTCTGCCGCTTCTTCGTACCACTACCACCACCACAAACGACACCACCACCGCTACCAACACCAACCCAAAACCAATACCGACACCACCAGCACCACCAACAACAACAGCAGCTGCACTGCTGCTGCTGTTGCTACACCTACGACGACGACCACTACTTCCACTACTACCGCTAGTACTACTTCTGCTGCTGTCTCTGCTACTGCTGCTACCACTACTGCTGTTACTGCTACCAGCACCACGACGACGACGACTACTACTACTAGGCTCGGTATTTACGGTACGTTCGTCATGTCATAGCAGTTCCTTCTTGCCTCCAAATCCACTCCGCGACTTTGAGAAATTCGGCTTCGGATTTCTGTGGGGGGGATGATGATGGCGACATTGTTACACAGAGACACCCCGAACAATAAGAGCCGTTTTACTCGGTATTTACAGTACTTTCGTGTTGTCGGACCCTCGTATATGGTGATGGATAATGATGATGATGATGGGTGATGGTGGATGATGATGATGATGGATGATGATGATGGATGATGGTGGTGGATTGAGGTGCCAGGTGGTTGGCAGGGGGGCGGCTAATACTACTACCGTTACTACTGCTACTGCTACCACTACTACGACTACAACTACGACTGCGACTACGACTCGGACTACGACGACGACGACGACTGCTATTCCTGCTTCTACTTCTACTACCACAACCACTACAACGTACTGCTGTCGTTGATAATGCTTCTGATATTTTGAATCGTACATTTGCGTGCTGCAGGTGTGCCACTTACGTCCCAGCAGGCTATAGGTATCACCTGCGGTATCATTGCAGCTGTCAGTGTGCCTTAAGTTACCATACACGTCCTGTTTTTGTTAATCCCTCCCTCTCCCATAGCCCCAGACCCTAAACCCTAAACTTTAAACCCTAAACTTTAAACCCTAAACCCTAAACCCTAAACCTCTGACCGGACCCTAAACCCTAAACCTAGGGAAAGAGTTCCTGCTCCTCCTCCTCCTCATCTTCGTCCGGCTCCTCCGCCTCCTTTGCCTCCAGCAGCGTCGCCGGGCCGTGGAAGCAGACGTTACAAGAATATACTATTCTACACGAACTATATAGTATAACATACTACAATATAGTATATAGTATATATATATATAAGTATAAGACACTATAATAACTTATAGTATTCCACAAATGGGGATCTGTTTTCAGGCTTATGGCGACAAAGATGTCAGGGACCTGGGCTTTCTTATTCCTTTACGGGGCTGCCCTGAGGCAATGCTGCTGATGTGAAGAGCTGAAGGCCCTGTCGAACCGGTAGCTGAAGCAAGTCGGAGCAGTCAAGCCGTGCTGGTAGTCTTGCGGAAGTGAAGCTCTCACAAAGTAGTGCTGCTGGTGCTGCAACTGCATTGGTTTGGGTCAGCGATAGTACAAGTGACCTTCACCTGGAAAGCCCAACTCTTGTGTGCACCCGCTGCAACGCCAAGCATCCTGTCGCCCTAAACCGCCTCAGTGCGCCTTCCAAACCTCAAGTGCAAATCTGCACGTGCAAGATCACGGTTTCCTACGCTTTGAGGACGAGGAGCATGTACCTCCCATGTTGAACAGCCTCTCGGATGAGGATGGAGCTTCCAGCGGGGCGGTTCCTGTATTTGGTTGGAAGAATAGGTGCTTTGTTGGAGTTTCTTTCCATACTCATACTGCATCCACCTGGGACGTTGTCTGTGTGCCCATGTGTTGGCTCTCCAGCATCGCCGGTGGGGCACGGTGTGTGGTACTATCATGTCAGTAGATGTCGACATTGCGACGCTAGGCCCTAACACAAGGCCAACACAGTATGCCGGCGCACGCCCTCAGCAATCCAACACCCCCGCGAGCAGGAATTCACCGCTTTTGCATCCTAGAAGGAAACTGAAAGTTTAGGTGGAGAGTTTTGTAAGAAGATAAGAGCAGCACGCTGCCAGAGTGCAGGATAATGTTCAGCTAAACTTCCCCAATTTCAAGCTCACAATCCCCAAACGAAGCTTGTGAAACAACCCCATATACGAAGCTTAAATTTTGAGCTGAGCCCTGACCCCAAAACACTGAGCACTGCAGCCCTTGAGTGCCGAGGTCGGCTGACCAACAAACGGCCCAGCAACGTTTCGCTCTCGGCGTTCTTCAAGACCGCCTGGGCCGTAATGATGTATTGAAGATGAAGATGATGATGATGATTGTGATGATGGTGATTTTGATGGTGAGGGTCGCAACCCGAGTAGCAAACAGGATTTTACCGCATCCTGTCTCGAGTTTCTGTGTCAGAACACCCTTGGCACAGCACCCAACACCCAAGACCCTCCCAGACATTGCGAGCTCTTTGTAACAAAAGCCCGCACGCCTCTTGCAATACCCGAGAGAACAACATGCCTTAAACCCGAAAGCCTTGTCGGGATCCTTGCGCAGTAGTTGCTTGCATAAACCCCTGGGAAGGAAGCCTATCATAGTAATCTTAACAAACCTTTGCAGTACCCGTCAAGCAACCCTATCATAGTACCCTTAAAGGATCCTATCATAGCGCCCCTCAAGGAACCATAGAAGAACCCGCATAGCGCCCTCAAAAACCCCTTTTGATGCCCTAAACCCCAAACCCTAAACCCGAAACCCTAAACCCTAAACGCCAAACCCTAAACCCTTGTACAACCCTAAACCCTTGAAGGAGCCCTGCAACCCTTCTGTTCGAAGGAGGGAGCCGGCGGTCTCGCGGGTGTGGCTCTTTCTGGAGGCGGGGAGTCGTGCAGTACCCATACTGTTTGGGAGTTTAGGGATTTAGGGATTTAAGGGATTTAGGAGTTTAGGGATTTAAGGGATTTAGGGATTTAAGGCTTTAGGGGTTTAGGGATTTAAGGGGTTAGGGTTTGATTAGGGGCTTAGTGTTTAGTTTTTTTTTGGGATCTTTCTTCTGCTTCTATAATTTAGGAGTAGAGTAGTAAGTACGTAATAGCAATCAGAATCGCATTGCTAATAGTATTCCTCTACTCCTATCTTATGGAATCTCTAATTGTGCCCCTATGTTGTGCTACGTGTTGTATTCGATCTCGGATAAGGTTTAGGGTGTAGGGTGTCTTTGTTGCTTCTGGCAGCGGGATCATCAGTCGCGCAACATTACCTCGAATACCGCTCTCCGTTGCTGCTAGAGGTCCCAGAGAAATCTGACATCTGAGCACCACCAAAGATTCGATTCAGCGCACCCAACAGGCGGTCATCGGAATTTCAGACAATAAGGGATTCCAAAGTGGGCGTCCGTGCAATGGGAGTCCTAGTATTTCGGATTTATTTCGGAGCCCCCTGTTCAAACTAGTGAGTACGCCGTGTTGCAGCAGGAACGGGAGCACCCAAACTCGTGGCAATTCCTCATTTCCGATGCTCCGATGAGCTAGCTCGAGCGTAACCTGCATATCAAAGTCATGGTCCGTTTATAATTCTACTCCCTCTATACGACTATAGTTTGGGAACTCAAAAGAGACGTAAATTTGAACTACGGACCTCCTTCAGATGTGGTCGAGGATGCTAAGCCCTGAACCCGCACCCAGGACCCAATCCTACCCTAAACCCGAGAAGCAATAGTCCATACTTCAGCATCCTTCCGTGCACTAAGCGGTAGGCCCGGAAGATACGAGCAGTTAAGGGTTCGGAGTTCAGGGGCTCAGGGCTGACGCTAATTACCATGCAACCCTGAGCCCTAAGCCATCAACAGTCCCCCGTTCGAAGGATCCGGATTCTAGCAGTGCCGCTGGGTGGTACGCCTTGACGACGAGACTCCGTTTTATTATTAATCCCGCAAAATCGAAGGCATAGAGCCCTGGTAAGATGCAGTGTCCAGGCTTGCAGGTTTGGGGTCCAGTCTTTAGGGCTTGGGTGGGTTGTGCTTACTAAAAAGGATCAGGTTGCGATGTAGATCTGTTGGCCGGTGTCATTTCAGAGATGCATACATGCTCATGTGTGCAAGTGGCCAGGCGCTCTGCATACTTGTCTGGAGTTGGTCCTTGCTTGTAGTAAGTGCACTATTCCGTATGCCGCTTCCACGGGATGTCCACTTTGAATGCAAAGCCTGATGCTAGGGCTAGACGTTGAACCGCAAGCCCGACACCCTAAACCCGATTACATGAAGCCTTTAATCGTCTGGGGGTTTAGACTTACATCTATGTTCGCTACACCTGAAATCCGCTTACAAGCAAGGACAGGCTCCGTGATGAAAGTGTGGAGGTTCTGAAGGCCTTACACCCCCACAACCTACCCTTCTGCACGGGGCATACGTGAGAATCCAACATGGACCACTTGCAGAAACGACCCTACAGACAAACAGGTTAGGGTAGATTCAGTTGTATCTATACCTGCTACGAGCAGGATAGGGGCAAGATGCGAGTCATGACACCTGCAACATCAGCGGGCTCTGCGACAGAGACTCAGGAATTACCTTATTACAGCGACAATTCTCTTCACGCCTCTGGGCAGCAAGAGGTGCTCAGGAAGCGTCGAGCGATAATGACAGCAAAGTTCCTGAAATCAACCCTGAATGATAAAACCCCAGTCCCACAAAACCACAAGCCCCTAAACCCTAAACTCTAAACTCTAAACCCTATAAACCCTAAACCCCAAGCCCCTACACCCTAAACTCTAAACCCTAAAACCTGCGTTAAGTTTTCTGATCTCCGGGTTCTGGGTGCTGCAGTGTTGTTGTTGGCTTGGAAGCTTTTCGATGAGCCCTGTCTGGGACTCCTAGACAAAGCTTCCTCACCCATTTCTCCACATCGTCAAGCTGGAAGATCCTCCTAATCCTACACAGGCCTTAATGTTCTAGTCATTGGGGTTCCGTGTGATATAGCATGGCACAGCGACATTAAGGAACCCTAAGGATCAGCCCTATCAATTCTACAAGCCCCACATGACATGCTATGTAGATCCTATACCCTGAACCCCTAAACCCTAAAACCCTAAACCCTGAAGCTTCGGCACAGAACCCAAGAGTAGATGTTGTTGGCGAATCATCTGCGGCCCCAGGAAAGACCTGTTACGGGACGCTTCAAGAAATCGTTGCAGCACCTCTATCGAAACCTTTGTAGTACTTTATTCTAAGGTGTATTCCGTAGAGAGGCCATGAAAACTTTCATCCCGCAAAAAAAGTTCCGGAACACTAGGCCTTGAGACCTACGTCCTAAGCCCCCGAACCCTAATCCTGAACGCCAAACCGTATCTAAAACCTCAAAACCAAAATCCTGCTTGGTATTCGACTGGACCTGCAGGAGCAAAGAGGCGAGAAACTAGCACTTAAATCATTCAATTGACACAGACACCATTCCCTAAACTCTCTCTCTCTCGTGCTGCGGAATGTCCGGAACGTCTGATGCATGCATGCCAAAAATCAGAGCGCTATGCACTGAAGGCAGAACCTAACGAAAAGGAAGAGGTGATCGACTAAGGCGATCCGCAGTCAAGCAATTCGCTCAACCGCGGGCCAGCGGCTTAGTGCGATACACGACAGAAGCCCTGAGTGGGAGCACGTCAGGTGATTTCCGTGCTGCGACATCACACAGGCTTTGGATCGGCAGCAGCCAGAGGTGTCTTGGGCAGCTCCGGTGCGCAACGACAAACACAGACCCAGAGGTCGTGGGCTCTTGAGACACAGTAGCCGCAGGTAAGAGGGAGCTTAAAAGTTGTTGACCGACTGCGCTGGGGATGCCTCGAATCCACATGAGACCCCCGAAGGCAACGCATTCACAAATCCGGCGGAAAGTGATCGTCGCCGACACAAGGTCGAGAAGTTGGGGTGCAGGGCCAGTTTGCGAAGGCTGGCAGGAGAGCGCATTGCGCAGCGTTGCGAATGAGGCTCTGAAATCGGCATCCCACGGCGCATTGGCTTCAAGTGCAGCCCACAGCTTCCAGTATTGGTGCCATTCGACAGGGAGACACCAAAAATGACTGCCTTGTACAAGCTGTGGCCAGAAGGGGGAAGGACAGGTAACAGCATTATCGTCGGCTGCAGCGGCCTGCGAACCTGGGACAACACGGAACCATCGGGGTGCAGCCCCGACCCTTGCTGAAGCGAGTACCTCGGCAGGCTCAACTGTTGACGGCGGTGTGGGTGGCTCAGAGAGCGACGCCAGCGTTCTGGTGCTGGGGGCTGCAATAGGAGGCCAGGCATGCACGTCAGTGGCCCCTGTGGCAGCGAGGAGCTCAGCAGCGAGCTCATCGTCTGTGCATGTCCTCCCTTCCGATGCTGCAATGCGCTGAGCTGGGGTGGCATTGAGAGGCCCCGGCAGGCGTATGGCAGGCAGACCGACATGACGCCTAGTGCCAGAGCGTTTAGTGCCAGTCCCATATGAGTATATCTCGCCTACCTTAACGCGAAGTCCATGTAGACAAGCCGCGGTAGTGCGTAGATGGTACTTCAACCGATCAGTCGAATGCATGTCGGTATTACACCAGAAACAAACGGTACCCTGTGTTAGCTTCGTATAACAATTCACAACTGAATGTTTCCGATGGATGTGCGCGGCGAGCGCGTGTCGGCTTGGAAGGGCAGCATGACAACTGGGACAGACACAGGGCTGCGACTGCCCTAGGATGCGCTTGGTGCGAGGAAGGTAGACATCTCGCCAGAGGTCACAGCACGCGGCTTGCGCAGTACCCCATCTGCTAATGAATCTGGCTGCACGGGTCAAGGCGTGACGGTGCATCGCTAGAGCCGAGAGGGTGCAATGCCGAATCCTGGCGCCGGAGGGGGTGCGGATGAATGGCAACAGCTGGCGACAGGCGTCGACAAGCAGCTGGCACCAAGGTGTATCGCGGTTCCACGCTATCCCATACCGCCAGGGGTGCTTTATCGAGGAGTTGGAACACAAGCCGCGCTCGGGCTATAATCACAGCGTGCTCCGGCGAGCTTTGGCCCAGCAGGATGAGAAGCACCGGCCTAGCGACAAGGTGTCCTAGTTGCCATGACTGCAGAATGTGTCGCGCGGACTTCTCGAAAAAGCCGGAGAGTGGGGCAAATGCTCTGGCAGAGGTCGCTATGTTGGTGGCGAGGGTGGCATAGGCAGCAGGGAGGACGCGGCCCGCGAACCATGCTCTCTTCAAGGCCCAGGGGAGCGAGGGGCTGGCCATTAGTCCCCGCGCATGTGTCCATGCAGTCTGTGCGCGCTGGGCGCTGAGCTCAGTGTCTCGCCTGCCTGTGTCCCTCGGAGTCTGTATGACTCCAAGATAGCGATATTCCGGGGTGAGGCGTAAAGTGTCCCCGGTAACAAGATGCAGGCAGGGGTCCCTGCCTAGCATGTCCCCTCGGACTGCCTTGGCATGCGTGCCGCGAATTCGCAGCATGGCCTCAGTCTTGCCTGGGCCAAGGTTAATGCGGAAGCGCAAAAAGCGAAGTGTGGTCAAAGTGACAACGGCAACCCGAGGGAAGTTTTGTTGAAGCGCAGTCGGATTCTCATAGTCCGACATGACCGCTAGATCGTCGGCCCATCTAAGTGGCAAGACCTCATCACGGCGACCGATAAGTGCGCCAGCACTGTGATGCGCCCAGCCTTCGTCCCGACAGACCTGACGGATGTGCCGGAGCGCTGCAGCGAACAAAGCGCCGAATAACACGTCGGCAAGGCCGTCGCCAGGTCTCGAACCCCTGGTGGCGAGGTCCACCACAAACGACCAGTGCGAAGCTGCAACACAGTCGTAGAGGAGGGCAATCTCCTCACTCGGCACGCCAATGTGCTGCAAAGCGCCGGTCTGCGCCAGACTGGCAGTGAGTGCAGCAAGGTGTTGCAAGTGCAAGGGGTGTTGAGGCTGTTATCCCCTTGAAAAAGAAGGGCTCGGCTGGCCTCATAATAAGCAGCCTGTATATCGACGAAGAGGGTGGCCTCGCAACGCATCTGGCCAGCGCATAGGTCAGAAGCAGCTCTACAGGCCGCAACCGCGAAACCGACAGGCACACCGGACCTGCCGCCGAGCTGAAGTGGGTCGTACTGCCCCAAAACAGAACCTCCTATGCTTTTCCGAAGGTGCCTGTGCCATAATTTCGCAATACCATCATTAAGGAGAGCGATGGATCTGTAGTTCTCAGGCAGGGAGGCGGGCCCCCGCTTGTACAGAGCGCATACTATGGCTCTTTTAAAGTGGAACGGCTCACGCCCCGAGAGGCCAATGCCGAGGCAAACCGGCCAGAACCATTGGCCGGTTTGAACCGGAAAATATTTCCAGATTTCATTGGGAATCTGGTCTGGCCCGGGAGCCTTGCCGCTCGCCTGCGCACGGGCTGCCGCTTCAACTTGCAACAGGGTGGGGACGGCAGTTGGGCATGGTTGAGTAGGCTGCTGCCACAAGTCACAAGCGACTTGTTGAAGTTGGGGAGCCGAAATTCGTTGAGCCCCTTCTTGGGCTCGAAACTGCTCTTCAAGGGCATCATCTATCTGGTAGCCGCCAGCGGCGTGTACAGCTCGCCGCTCGGCACTGCGCCGCGACGCCCAACGAAGATGGGAGATAGCGTCAAGAGGCCGGCCATGGGCGTGCCACGCCTCATTAGCTTGGCTAGTGAGCTTCTCGAAGTAGCTTACTTTGTCACGCCTCGCAAGGCGATGTGCCACTTTAGCTGCATAGCATACCTGGTGCTCGAGCACGGCAACCTGCAGCCGAAGGCAATGTGTATGCACGGCAGATTGCGGTGGGTCCTGCTGATGTCGCCAGCGGCGGAACCAACGGAGACACATAACTCCTAAGGCTTGTTGACGCACGTGTCGCAACTGGGCTCTCCAGTCGCGGAGGCGCTGAAGAACAGCACGGGTGATATACGGCTGCTTAGGGACTACAGGCTCGCGTGCTGGCAATGTCTGGCGCCACTCGCTAAAGCAGCGGAGGAAGTGGGTGACCTGGCGCCCAGCGCTAATGCCGGCTTCTTGGGAATCGGCCCGGATTTTTGTCCAAAGGCCGGCGCCACTCGCAAGGATCTCGGGCGCCGTGCATCGGCGGGCTCTCGGGTGCACTCGTGTTCCAGACATTGCGTGAAGAACGGACCGAGCTCGAAGAGCAACATGATCCTGGTTGGCTGTGGCGAGGTCGAAGTCGACAGCCTGACTCGTAAGCCGGTGTTCCCACGGGCCTGGCCTGAACAGCAGATGGTCCAGACGTTTCCGACGGCCTCCGGAGTGTTCCCAACTCCATGTCTCGCCAGATTGGATGCTGGGGAAGGTTGCCGGAGCCTCCAGCCCGAGTTGAAGACAGAGATCGAGAAGGAGCGTGTCGTTGCGACCTGGGTCATGATGAGCGAGTTGTTGGCCAATCAGACATTCGGCGTCGTCGGTGGAAGTGAAATCACCGTTCGCGTCAATACCGACAACTAGCCCCCGTGTAGGCGGCGCTCGGTTAAGTGCCTCTCTCAACTCTCTCCAGAAAGCGTCGGCTTCCTCATCTGGTCTATCAGAGTGTGGCGCATGTGCGGAACAGACACTGAGAGGAAA